TCACTGGTACAACTTAAGGTATTTTAATGTAAGTTTGTGTAGAGAGAACATGACACTAGTACATGGGTATTGTCACCCATGACCCTTCAAGCCCCGATATCCACATGTATACAAATTTTCTAGACTCAATAAGTGTTAGAAAACTTTCAAATTTTAAGATAAAGTGATGCATTAAAAATTTTAGTGCACAAGTGTTAACTCATTTAAGTTACATTTGATACCATCTGTATTTTGGTAACGTGAAATATTTCACAACAATCCACTAACCACATATTTTCATGTATTTCAGCACATCCAGTTTAAACTAGCTGAGATGGCAACAGCTCTTATAACGTCTCGACTGATTGTACGTCAAGCTGCTCATGCTCTGGATTCCAAGTCTCCTGATGCATCTACACTGTGTTCCATGGCTAAGCTGTCTGCAACAGATCAATGTTTTGAGGTTTGTTCACAAAATGGGCATTCCAAGTCTTTTGAAATAAGAAAGTTCAGTTTTAAAGCATTTCAGAAGGCATGCACATGTCACAGATAATTATAGCTATTAAAATAATTTCTTGATGAATTTTCCTTCTGTTGACAGAATAACAGTGAGCAACAGGCGTCATAAATGGGCGTTTTTGAGTTAAAATCAATCAATGTTAATGTTTTAGATTGTGAAAACTTGATATGAGAGCAAAGAAAGGCACACCAAACTTAGTTGTAGTTGCCTGCAACTAATTAACCCCCATATGAACAAAAAAACAAGGGGGGTTCCAGTAACTCCTAGAACCTACCCAGCCGGACCCAGGTGGCCAACTGGGTATGCTATGGATGCTCAGTTTTCGGAGAGAAAAAAACAAAAGAACAAAAAAACAAGGGGGGGTTCCAGTAACCCCTAGAACCTACTCAGCAGGCCTCAGGTGGCCAACTGGGTATGCTATAGATGCCCAGTTTTCGGAGAGAAAAGCGTTCCTTTTAAACACCTTAGTTTTTGAACTTGAGTTGAAATCCTCAATCCCAGCAGAGGGCACATATGCTGAGAACCACATCACAATGTTAAAATTGAATCATTGATTGTTACATAATATTTTTTGCAGCAGTGACACTAAAACATAAAAATACCACACATTGACCTCGAACGGGGGAGTCATTTACCCCAAAGCCTTGGCCCTACCTGCATCTGCTAAAGCTACTCTGCTCTAAATTCTACTCTTTACTATGCTTCTAGTCCACTGTCCATGTACACATAAATGTTATTATTTTATTATTATTAGCTTGGGAACAAGGTGAACAAAACCACTTTATTGAACTTTTCTCCAGATTTGTAATGATGCTCTCCAAATCTTTGGGGGTTATGGCTACCTAAAGGACTATGCTGTTCAGCAGTACATGAGGGACTGTAGAGTGCATCAGATTTTAGAAGGTAGTACTTCTATAGCATCTTAAGCCTGATTTCCACTAGCGCATAAGTATAAACAAAAACACAAGCACATTTGTAAGCAAGTGAAAACTGAGTCGACATAAGCATAAGCACACACCAAACGGACAAGCTCTTTCTTTTTTTTCTTGTGCTTATGTCACAGCTCTGACTAGTGAAAATGGGGTTGACATTTATAAGCACAAGCATAAGCACAAGGCCATGGATCAATCGTAGGCCAATTTGACCCAGACCTCATTTGAACATTTCAAAAGCAATAGGGCATATGCAATCTTGTTTATCATCGGGTTGAGGAGAGTTGGTATCAAGAATTGAGTCAAATATGCTTATGAGCTAGCGAAAACCAGATGTTATAGAGCATTTTCACATGACATCACAGCAGCCATATTGGTGTCCCAAAACAATGAAACAGTGGCCATGTTGTTGTTCCAAATAAATCCTGTGGGAGTTGAAATCTTTTCTTATGCAAACCCTTTCTTTTGTTCCAATGAATTGCATAGATGCTGGTCACATGAGTGAAAATGCTCTATTGTCAGTTATGCAATTATTATTTACCCCAAGTGCTACTTTTGATAAGTTCTGGCCAGTTTAAAGTACAGCTTACATGAACACATGCACAATGTACCAAAACAAACAACTCTTCTGGGCACTGTCAAGTTTGAAGTGTATCACATGCACTCTAGAGCTGTGGAATAATGGTGAATCCTGATCTCATGTCAACAATTTTTCTTGGGTCAATTATTACTGGAATGTCTAAGCAGTAACTTGGTACAAACTTCATTTCCCAGAAAAACTGTCAACCCATGCCTTGTCATTTGTTGGCTGAAATAAGTAGCTTAACAAGGCTGTACTCTAAGAAAAGGGAGGGAAGGGAACCCAGTGCCCTGAGCCTGTGAAATCCAAGGTACCCAGCATACGATTTCTATGAAAAAAACTAAGATTTTCTACTCAACCTGGAGCAAAAGGTAGGCAGGCCACCTGGAACTGCTATTAATAGCACAGCCTTGTTTAATATTAGTTTTTGCCACAGTAATATCTATAACAGCATTCACTTATCTTACCTACTATTGGGTCTATTAATTTCCAATCAACTGACTTGCCTTTATGATCTTCTCTTTTCTTGCAGGAACCAATGAAATCATGCGATTAATAATTTCCAGAAGTCTCCTGCAAAATAGCTGACCTTGGATGCTTTTAAAAATTAATATTATTTTTAATATAATGAAGTACCAGAGTGACGTCCTCATTGATTATAAGAGGGCTCAATAGTTGAACTAGAGCAGAATACAAGGAGACTGGATTAAATCTTGAACATTTATTGGTACTCAGAAGTTGCATACCTCCTGCAAGGCAATCATCATACAACTCATCAATCATCAGTTGCCTGATGATTGCCTCGCAAGAGGCATGAAACTCCAAGTAGCAATAAATGTTTAAGATTTAATGCAGTTTCATCAATCTACCTGCATTATTTTTAATATAATTATATATAGTGGAAATTCTGCCTAGGGATAATTTTTTTTAGACAGTGTTGTACTTATTTAAAAATTCTGGATCTTGAGCTTAAGGTCAGTTACAGTATTTTAATCAAAAAACCTAAAAATGGCCTTTTACCAACTTTTTCACCTGATTTGACATGAAATAGACAGATTTGGTTGTTTTATGCTGAAAAGTGGATTTTTTTCAAAAAGCTTGGTCCTTTGCTTAACCCATTCGCTCCTAGAGATTTTGCCGAAAAACGCGTTTTGAGGCTAGTCGAGTGGTTTTCTGGTCACTGTCGTGCTATAAAGAGCTAAATCTTACCACAAACTGGTTTACAGGTCGAACACTTCGCGGTCTTCCGATCCAGATGCAAAATATCAGCTTGCGAAGTTCGGGCATGCGCAGAAAGCAAAATTTCGACATAGTTTTTGGGTTTAAAAGTGACACAGCAGTCTTGACTTTTACTTTTCGCTTTCTCTCCTCCCTTCTTTTTTTGCTTTTCTTGCCTCATTTTTTTTTTCTCTTGCTGGGCATTTAGTAGGCTTGATTTTGGTGGGAAGAGTTTTTAGGAAAGCTTTTAGGATCTTAGGATTAGGCGAAAGGAAAGGTAGGTGGGTAATGGGACAAGATTTTCATGGAGATTTTCAGGTCAATGTCACGTGGTTTTTTGCTTGTTTCTCCGGTGTCCTTGACTGAATTGTGCTCATTCTGGTATGGTTTGAAAGATCTCTTCACTCTGCACAAGTTAGTGAAGAAAGTTGTCCTTGACCGTTAAAACTGATGACGTCACAATGGGTAGAAAGGACCTGGATCCGCACGGGCGGTTACGGGCGGTTCAGGGGCGAATGGGTTAAACTGCAGGACAGTAAAATAAATTATATTTTTTGCAGAGTTGAGGAACAGTACCAAAAAACTAATGTTAACACTTATTTAACTTTATTTATTATCTGTTTGCGACCAAACAAAGCAAGTAAACATACCCTCCCTCTGACACGCTACATTATAATTATAGAATTCAAAATTATCATAATTTAACTGATGTAATGTAAAAAAACCAACAAATTTAACGTGCACTCAAAGGACTGTACAAAGCTCTAGAACAATAAAGCAGATTCAATTCTTTCAACCGATTTCCTGTACATCTTGCATACTGAAGTGAAAAAACAAGAACAATAACAAGTCTCAGGCAGCTAATTTAGGTTAGTTTGTGTTATAATGCGATGTACACATTGTACACTCCAACCAGCAAATACTGGCTTTGAGTCAGAAATAACGTAACATTATTGTAAGTGGGACTGGAAGAGTGAATTTGAGATAATTTGAAGGGATGCACAGAGTTAGGTACCTAAGACCGCAGTGTCAAATTCTGCCTTTCTTTATAAGCCAACTTGGAAGGAAAAACTAAAGGTTGTAAAGGACCAATTGCATAAAACCCACTGCGCGAGCCTCCTTTTGTCTTACACCAAAATCAAGCAAGTGAAATTAAGGCTGTGTAGAACTTAACATTCCAATTTAGCTGCATATGTCTGGCATAAAAATAGAGATTTCTTTTGGACTGACGCGTGAACTATACTGGTCTTTATTGCACACACCACTTTGCTTACATTGGGTATAAATGGCTACTCTTGACTGCAGTATCCAGTCTCGTCTCATGTGCCCCATCTCAAGCGAGTTTGATTGCCTGCCTACTTGTTGTATTTACCCTGGAACTTGAAATCTTAAGTGACATCCCTGCTGGAGTTCACAGGTTTACAGCAATAATCTCTCTTCAAATTTTCTTAGAAAGGCACTAGATCACAAATGATGGTGTCAGTGAAAGCATGGGTTTGGTGGACAATCAAGTTCTCTCTTGTGTGTATCTCAATCAGTAATGCCTCTCAGCTGCAATTAACTTAAATCAAAAGGTTAGTCACAAAACATTCTCCTGCAAAAAATCTTTCCTTTTTTGGCAAGCAAAAAATACATTTTTCCATCAGCCAGATTACCAAAATTTAGAGTAATGTTATATTGCAAAGAGACAAAAACACCTTAGTCGTTCTCATTAAAAACATTTTATTGAAAATCACATATTGGTTAACAGTTTATTGTAATATATACATTTTTGTCAAAACTAACAATAGTTATTAATATTTTATTAAAAAGCCTTTAAAAAATGAATATCTCCCCAACGGTTTAAAGATGTTGCCAAATGATGGGAAGCATCCAATAAGACAATGAAAGTTGTGCTTATATTTAAAAATATATTGCCAAAACCAATCTGAATATGGAAATAGCAGCTATTTAGGATCAATTGAGGTTTGTGAGTAACTAACCACCTACCCCTCCCCTTAGTCACAATTTTGCTCCAAGTGAAAAGTTAGTGTTAATGTTGACTTAGGGGAGGGGTAGGTGTTCAAATGTCAAGAAACATCAATTGTTGATCCGCTATTTACAAGAATAAAATGATAAAACTTCAGAATTCACATGAGCACGCTTAAGCTCATGCTTCTGTTTACTTTTTGTCCTATTATTCTAGAATTGCGGCATTGAGTCCCAAGTCCAATTTTGGGTCTTGGAAGGTTGTTTTGGTTTTCTCTTGCCTCTTCTAGTTCCCTGTTAGAGAGGGAAAAGGTTGTAAATGCAAAGAAGATCAACGTAGTTAAAGATACAACTTATGCAGCTGTGCCCCCCCCCCCCCCCCCCCCCCCCCCCCCCCCCCCCCACCCCACACTCACCCCCCCCTGGGCGTACCCCCAAAAACACTAAATAAAAAACAAAACAAACAAAACAGAAACAATCCACACATTAACACTAAAACCAAACCAACCAGCTTAACTACACACACCCCAACCCCCCACACCCCAAGCGAGACAACAACAAAAAACCCACACACCACAAAACAGAATAAACAAAAAGAGAGAATAGTCTTGGTTCTTTTTTTTTTTTTTCTTTTTTTTTTGTAATGTGGGCGTTTTTTCCCCAAGTCCATTTTTGGGGTTTGTAGGGTGTTTTTGGTTTTTCTTTCCCCTTCTAGTTTCCCGTTTTAGAGGGAAAAGGGTTTAAAATGAAAAAAAAACCACCTTGTTAAAAAAACAACTTTTTGCGGCGTGTCCCCCCCCCCCCCCCCCCCCCCGGCTTACCAGGAGTCAATCCATGATCTCTGGGATATGGGTGCAACACTATAACTATTGAGCTAGCAAGCCAACCGGGAACTGGTCATTTACCACATTTATTCGAATAAGCGCCCAACCTGGAATTAGTGCCCACCTCAAATAAGCGCCCATGCTAAAGGCAGGAATAGTAAATAAGCGCCCAGCCTTGAATAAGTGCCCATTCTCAAGGTCCAAATATTTAGTAAGCGCCCAGGGTGGTTAATCGAATAAATACGGTAATTGGTTCGTAATATATCCAGAAAAGATAAAGATGAAATAATGAATAAATTATATGAAATTCATATAATTCACTTTTCACTTTCCATCTTCTTACAATTTATATTATTAGCCTGAGAATTCACATACAGTGGGTTATGTGTTGTGACTACAGTTGCGACTCTTGTAATTTTCAGAATCTTGATTACTCTACCTTGAAAGGACTTCATTCTTGAACTTTTCTGCATTCAGTTCTTTCCTTAGCTGGGCCTGCAAAGAAAATGCCAGAAGAGTGAAATGAATTCCAACATTGGAAAATTTTATGACACAACAATATTATATTATCAGGGTGCAAAGAAAATCATTTTTACAGCTTGCCCTTCGGGCAAGCTAAAGCTAGTATTTACCAGCCCAGACGTCATTCCAACTAGCCCCAAAAGATTTTTGTTCTTCTGTTATTCAAATTCCTCATAAAACATCACTTGCCCGTCAAAGAAGTTAAAAACAGAATTCACTGGCCCGATAGCAAAATCCACTAGCCCCGGGCTATCGGACAGTACTTTCTTTGCACGCTGATTATTGTAATGGCGAAAAAAAAAAAAAACACCATCACTATTTTTTTATTTTTTCACCATTACAATAAATTAAATTAATATGAATAATTTCAGGCAAAAATATGAACAGCAGACTTTCACTTGCTCAGACTAACATTGTATTTTTATTTACATTCTCCTTTGGTTTAAAAGTTGTAAAACTGCTTATATTTTTGCTTTCCTTTCTCTCAGGTTCTGATAATGGCTCTAGGAATAGGCAAAACAAAAATTATCTGGTTTGAAAGAAAATTGTACAAGTCAGCAATTTATTGGTTTTTATAAGAGACTGGTCACTTACTGATGCAGACATGATTTTTCTTCTAATACTGATAACATTTTACAAAATGCTGCTTTAATTAATGTCATTTTACATAACTTATTTCATTTTTGACACAACCCCACAAGCAGTTTAGCTTTAAAACCATACAGTTGACTCTCTCTTAACAGACACCTCTATAAGATGGACACCTAGAGTTGGTCCCTGCCTTTCTTTACTCCCTTTATTTGACTCTCTATAAGACGGACATCTCTTTAAGAAGGACAGTTAGTACCGGCCCCAAAGGTGTCCAACTTAGAAAGAGTTGACTGTAATCTTATTGTAATTAAATGAAGTTATTAAATTAATGTTACTAGAATTAGTTCTTGTCTCGACATTGAGTATAAATGGTTCTAACGCATACCTTAGATTTTGCTGCAAGAGGACAAAGCACTGGGTGTTGTGTGAGGGTTGTGGCAGAGGGCCGCTTACTTGTTTCAGGGTCAATCATCAGCTGGAAAAATTTACAGCAGCTATCAGGTTACAGAGACACAAACAAGCATGGAAGCCATGCAGTTCAAAAGGACTGGAAATTAAATGGTGCCTTTCAACTGGCAAATCTTTTTCTTTGAGAAATCTTTGTTTTTGTTGGATTCTACATAATATAGGAGCCTTGATAAAAGTTGCTTAAAAGTTGTAGAAAACATGTTAAAACCTAGGCTTAAGTGGCAACTGGTAGCATGATGAGAACGGCAACAACATTGTCCAAAGAGCAATGAGATCAATAACCAAAACACACATTTGATACATTTCTTTGCTGTCAGTTTACAATGACTTTATTTCCTTTTGCCATTTTAATTTCTAGGGAGGTTGTGAATACATCCTGCACTTTTACACAGTCTCAAACAGTTCAGCTTCAGTAAAAATGAAAGAAAGTAAATTCACTTTCTAGGTGGCAATTTTTTTGCTGTTGCTTTTATATTGTTCAAGCCCCTTACAAATCTGGGCCTCATTATTCATAAACTTGTTTTTTCACTGATTGTATAAAATAAAGAAAAGTACTATAACACTAACCTTCAAAAGTGAGTTCATTTCAAGTGAGATATGGCCCAGAGTTTTAAGATGACCTCTCCTGCGAAACAATGAAAGAATAATAATAAGTATGTGTATGACACTGGACAGAAAGAGTTAATGTAATTGCTGGTATTTTCATACAGCTATATTGCACACACCTACATTATTGTCAGGGTGAAAAGAAAGTCAGTTTTGTAATGTGTACTGTGATGGGCGCAAAATGAAAACTATAGGGAAAAAACTCAATAACCAGCCAAAAAGGACAAATAGACATTGCAGATATTACAGACATGACATAATTTGTCAGAAAGTACGTGAAGCATAATTGCCCGGGTGAATGCCATAATTTGTTGGGTTCTAAATGCAGGGGAAAAAAATCAGTACACTTCCCTCCTGCCTAACCTGATTTCATGCCATTCTTCACCATTCTTAGGAAGGTCTGGTCCTCCTCCCTTAAAAGACCAAAAAACATCAAGTCACATGTTGTCTTAATTCTTGAAAAACAACATAGTCTTTAAATCAACAATACAAGTTATAAAGAAGTTGTATTCTGGTGGACATTTATCTTTTTTTTTTCGGAATTTGGCCTATCTAGAAGCAGTGAAGAACATCACTCAATTTTTTTTTTCTTTTCCAACGAGCCCTTCTGCCTGTCCAGTGAAAATTACTGTTTTAATGGACTGTCTTCAACCTAGTTTGATCCAGAATTTCCTTTTCATTGGAGAGTTGAAGGACCTTACAAAGGAGTTGGAGTAGAAGCACAGGCCTCATGATCTAGTGAACATCAAACCAATGGTGCCAGAGGCAGAGTTTCCTATCTTGAGTACAGCTAAATCCCTAATGATTTACTTAAAACCTCTAACGGTAGATTTTTAAGTCAGTAGAAACAGTATTAAAATGCCAAGATGTTACAAAAATATAGTAAAAGAAGTACCTTGCTTTTATATCACAAGACTGATATTTAATGATACTTACAGCCAAATATATTGTTAACGCTAGCGCAAAAATGTCAGCTTTTGGTAATGAAGAGTAGTCCTGAAGTGTAGTAAAACATTTCAAACAGCAGAAATTAGTTGTGACTTCTATACAAGGTTTTAGCCAGAAGGGTGACCACGAACATTTTATCGACCCGACTAACTGCCCCTGGGTCTCCGAGGATGGTCAAATCCAGGTTTTGTTAATTTTAATTAATGCTTAAACAATGCATAGTGAGTCAAACTGGGAAATGGTCACACTAGTCGTTTAACAGAGGCTGACTCAGCGTGCAAAGAAAGTCAGTTTTACAGCCTACCATTCGAGCAAGCTGTAGCTAACATGTACCAGTCCAAAGTCATTTCAACCAGCCTCAAAACCCTTTTTTATTGGCAGGATTGATTACAATCCTTCTCTAATTTGAATTTCCCCAAAAAACAGTATTTGCCCGTCGGGCAAGTTAAGAACAAAAATCATTGGCCCGATAGCAAAATCCACGAGCCCCAGGCTATTGGGCACGAATTTATTTGCACACTGCTGACTGTTGATAAGGTTTGACCAAGGTATGAGTAATTTAGAAAACAAAGAGACAGGACAAAGTATCCCTTACAACAATCACCTCAAAGGGTTAATTCTGTGTGCACCTCTCTTTGCCCCAAAAGAAAAGAGTTACAGACCATTAACTGCCATACACAAATGCAGGTAGATTCAGTGTAAAAACCAGCTCAACAGTTTACTCTTATTTTACAGGAGGGTTTGTTTTGCAAGGCAAGGTTGTTCAAAGCAGGAGAAAGATGACCTAGCATAGGATGAGCATCAAATCTGAATTCAAATCTTAACACTCAACTGAGAGTGACAGCTAATAAAGATTCACTTTAAAACTGCCCGCAGACTGAGTGAGGGCCATATAAATTTCACTTAAAATGATGCAAAAATAACAGGCTGTTCTCTCACCTCTTGCAGTATTTCATCGGGTAAAAATCTGCAGTCTCCTTCTTCTACTTGTGGACTAGTTACTGACGTCACATGTCCTAAGTCACCTATAAAAATTGAGATTATGAGCTTGAGAATCTTGAGATGGCACTGCAATAATAAAACAGTGAACTTACACACAACAAACAATGAACACTCTTGTAAGCAACTAATCAAAGATGATGGCCAGAGAAAAAGCTGACATTTCATGACGCCATTACTGGTTTTCGTCTGGATGACATCTGGGGAGCAACTGCAGAAAATCCATACTAATGAAGTTTTACTTTCCAGATCTGGGTTGTACTTCAGATTGCTCAAGGCAAATTTCCCTCACACCACAACCGATCAAAAGAACTCCCCAGATTTGGGTAGTGACTTGTCACCAGTATGGAATTTCTGCACTCATGATGTTTCATGGAGAGGTGGGATTGCAAAATGTCATCTTCCTTCCAGAGTGTATTTCAAAGTAGAATTGAGAGTAACCTGAAGTAGAACGGAGGAGTACTAAAATTGCCAAAAAAAATTGTGGATTATGCCAACACTAACAACGTTGAATTTATTGTTGACCCGATGGTATTATTCCATGGTTGATTAATTTCCAGCTTTTCGCAAATATTTAAGTTGATCAAGTGCAAGTGACTGCCAGGGGAGTGTGAGATTGGTTCTTTGACAACATTTATATGACATGATCCTATTGCTTGCATAGACAATACAGCATGTCCCGGCAGAAAAACAGCATTTTGATATATGAGCATGCGCTGAACCGTGAACCTGTCCCTTTAATTTTTTGGTAAGAGTTAAGTGCAATGTACCTATTTTGTAAATTGGCGCTCTTTTTCGTAGTCCAGGAGTATCGTTTTCATCAAATCCTTCATCGCCACTGTGCTGGCATTCCTCCAAATTAGTATTATAGCTAATAAAGATATTTCCTGCCAAAAAAAAGTATGAGAATGTACAAAATGTCTGTAACTAAGTTTTTACGTTGCTAGATAACACTTTAAAAAAATGCCCATTCATTGTGCTATAACTTACCAGGTTTAATATCCATATGAACCAGACCCAATGAATGGATGTACTTTAATCCCTGTTTTTAATTTTGAAAGAGGAAAAAATACTGAATTAAAGTTAAGTTTCTTTCGCACCTCAGGGCTAAAAATAACAGTCAGCAGGTCGCCAGTCAAGATGACCAGCTAAACATTTTTTAGCCCAGACAAACCCCGATTCTGGCCGGTCAAATAATGAATACTATAATTTTTTTCCCTCAGGAATATCGAATTACACTGGCAATAGATAGTTATTACTACATTGACGTTCACATTCTTGACAGCAAGTTGGTGAAAAATGCATTCACACGTTTTAGAGTTCCTTTCTAAAGTTTTTGCGTGTTTAATGTCCTTTCTATCTTGAGTATCATCGTACAGGGGTGTCTGAACTCATGATCAGGCCGGACATTGTCCGTTGACTGGCCATTATTTTCAGCCCTGCACCTTACATGAAAAGAAAACTGTATTGAAATTAAAGGGTAGGAGAAGTCTAGGACCATGGCAATTACTATGAAAAAAACCTCCCCTAGAGAAGAGGGTAAGGTCACAGCAATGAGATGGTCTACAGGCCCACAGTAAGGGATCATTATATGTTTCTTGGAATCTGCCCATTTACCCCTCCCCTGAGTCAACATTAAAACTTGCTTCTCACTTAGGGCAAAATGTTGGCTTAGGGGAGGGGAGGGTGGGCAGTTTTACAAAAACATACTTTACTAGTCTTGTACTATTCTCACAGACCAAGGGCTGATAACCGAGACAAAGGCAAATTCATTATACAGCAAAGTCTACTGGCCAATCACTAGTAGAGAAGTCAAATATTGTCATTAAAAAATTATGATACCTGAGCAACTTGTATTAAAAGCTGTTTGAGTTCACTCTCTCCCATAACATCCTCTGCTGATTTATTCTTTTCTATTAAGTCAGCGAGACTTCCCCCTGAAACGGAGAAAAAAACAATATGACTTTACATCAGTAATCATATTAAGACTAAAATATCACTAAAAAACCAATGGCCAATTCAGCGTTTACTACTATTATCAATATTAACCCTCGGACGTACAAGGTGGGATGGTTGCCACCCCCCTGATTTTTTTCCTCAGCAATAAAACATCAGCACCTGAAGATTTCTGTAGCTGTTTGTTTATCCCTTGCGCGCATGTTGAGACACGTTTAGTGATGGTCAGTTTCTATGGTTATGAGAAATGATGTCATAAGTAGCAGGTGGCCAAGGTTTTTCAGGAATAAAAGTAAAATTTGTGGAGAAAATGATGCAAGGAATTATTTATGTGTTGTTTTACGTGTTAAGTGCAAAAAAGTATTTATTCTTACTGTTCTTACTCTAGATGGCGACCATGTTTGGTGATGTCACAGACCTCCAGCAGTGCCACCACCCATAAAATATACCTCGTAAATCATCGTAGAGAAGAGCAAAGGCTTTCCACTGAAGGCAAAATTGTTTCGAAATACTGCAACATATCAAAAACTCAAGGGGGGGGGGGGGGGGGGCCCCCCCACCACCCCCCTTTTACCAAAAGGGGGGTTGTATTTTGGTTGGCCCCCCAGGGTCAAAAAAGGGTTTCTTTTTTTTTTAAATCTAAAAAAAAAATAAACAATTTAAAATAAAATTGTAAAAATTTTTATGTGTTGGTTCTCGCACACACACCCCCCAAGCCCCCACACAAACAAAATAACACCACAAAAAACAGAGAAAAGAAAAAAAAAAGTCCTACACAAAGAAAAAGAGTGTCTTGAGAAAAATCAAAAAAAAAACACAGGGGGGGGGGGGGGGGGGGGGGGGTCCACCAACCAACCCCCTTATACCACAGTAGGGGTATGACTTTGCATGTACGTCCAAGGTCTAACAAGGGTCTCTATTGTTTCTAAACTCTAAAACAAAATTAACACTTGTAAATTACACTTGTAAAATTTTTATCCAGCTGACCCCACATTTAAATAATTACACCAATTTAAATTTTTTTGTTACTGTAACATCTAGTCTTTTAGTGTAAACAAGAAAATGAAATTTGCAACAATCAATAATATCAGTACGTATTCACTTGTAACAATGATAGATTAACAAATAAAAATGAAATGTACACACACCTTCACAGTATTCATTTTGTATTAACATGTGTCCATCTTCTGCCCATGCAGAGTAATAACGTACGACGTGAGGGTTTTTTCCAAGGACAGCATGGGCATACACCTCACGCATGGCATTTTGCCTAAAAAAAAAAGCAATCAGCATTATGTATAACACTGATGTGGCCATGAGGCTGAAAAAAAAAATCATCTAAGAACGGGACTGCTGGATGATTGAGAAGCTATACCAAGGTCCACCAAAAAATTACTGGAATGTATCTTACATAACCATCTAGGACATTTATTACAAGATTCTGTTTTCTTACATTAATCCAATAAAACAAGGTGCAGATTTTTTTCTTTTAAAAATTGCAAGGGATCAATGATTTTACTTTTGAGGGGGAGGGGATAAGGTGGGTTTGGGCAAGATTAGATTTATCAGACCATTTCTCCTAATTTTTGGTGTACATTTAAATAGCCAAGAATTTTTGGGGTCCAAGTGCAAGATATTTTCACTGGGAGATAGGGATTTCCTATGGCTACATTGTACTATAAAGGTAACCACCTCCCCTCCCCCCACCCCCCACTGGCAACATTAAAAAAAACAACCAGGAGAAAAATAGAAACAAAATAAATCCCTTGCTGTTTGATTCCCTGCCTTCTTGTTGAATTTCAATTTACAATTGCAACTTGAAATCTTAAAACTGCTAGCCCTGTATTTTTTCCGAAGACACATGTAACACCCCCCCCCCCCCCCCAATCTCCTGTCCACTTCAAAAATCAAATGGTTGGCCCCTTAGACTTACTCATCAACTGAGCCTGCTACTGGCTTGAGTGATCGCTTTAAAGCATATACGCATCCATCTGAAAAAACAACCACAAATTCATAAGAACTAAATTTTAACTGAGTTGTTTATAACAATGCCTACTTCTGACAGACAGATAATAAAATAAGTGACTTTCTTGGCATGCTGCTCTTTGAGGCACAAAAATAACCTCTTCAACACCAGAAACACTAGGGAAATCAAGACTGACCTAGGTAATCATAAATGTTTAAATCAATTTAATGCCTCCTTTATTTAGGCAAATAAAGTACATTCAGTCTACATCTACAACTCACAATATACTGGTTTCGTCAAGGAAGTTTTGAGAGAGCTACCACCAAGAAGATCAAGAGAGGAACTGTACCATAACTCTAGATAGTCTACAACAAACAAGGAAACACTTACCTAATCTATTGACACATTTATGAACAGAACCAAACTGGCCAGATCCTATTGTGCTGATTTCAACAAATTCAGCATTGTAGCGAGAGATATTGCTCTCACGTAGTGCAAGTCTCTGTAAGAGAGAAAAAAAAAAGTAAAAAAAAAAAGAACCATCCATATAGGAGCCACCAAAAGTCTGGCTAAGTTATTTAAAATCAGACGCACTCTAGATGAGTAGGAGCAATTAAAACAAAGACAACAGATTTGCATGGAATATGTTGCCCAGCCACAAAAAATCAGAGGATGAGGTATTAGTGATATCTGGAATAATGAACATTATTAAATTTGAGGTAAATGTTTTCAGCCAAATCATGGATGATGCTGATAACAGTAGCCTGTTCCAGGCGTTAAGATAGTGGGGAGGCTCCCCACTATCTAGTCCTCCGAGCGGTGCGAAGTGAAAAGGAGAGTGAAAAAATAAAAGCGAGGGAGGAGGAGAGGTGAGGTGCACCTCTCTCCCCAGTCCCCCTTTACTTTTTATCGCTTTCTTTACTCCGCACCGCTCTCCACTATCTGAACGCTTGGAACAGGCTATGATAACAGTTACTGAGACACACTGTTTCACGAGACACAGTTCAGCATTGAATTACACGTGGAAATCATGCATTGCGTACACAACTAACAGTTTAGTAATCTGCTGGCATATAACTAACTAGTATGTATAAGTTTGAATATTTTTATTTGTTATGATCCACTGTTTGTTTGTTTTTTGCAATAATTGATTAGATATTTCCCACCAAGACAGCACACAAACAATCCTTGCGTGATGAAGTGCTGCACATCTTAATATACACATACACAGGGTCCAAAATGAACTTTTTGATACAGACTTGGCATCCTTTCATCCCCAGAAATGAATTTTTTCCTTTTCTTTAACGATATAAACAAATATGCATAATGATGGCCACTTAAAAACAGCCATTCAACTGTTCTGAACACGAGACATTTTAAAACACCCAAATAACTGTTGTGTGATGTTGGCAGGATGAAACATAAGTCGACTTTGAACAAAAACAGAAATCCTCCGATTCTAGAACTGCTGCTGCAAACTTTTTTAGTCGCCTACTAGAAACTAGCCTTGAATTTTTGGTCACCAGCTCTCAATTTCTAGGCACATTGGCAACTAGCTGGTCACAATTTCAGACACTGATACAAGACATTCATTTCACAAGCTTAGCTATTAAGCATCTCTTTCCAAGAAGTGGTTTAAATAGTTTCTGAACTCTACTATTGTTTTTTAGCGTAAGTTATCATTGTTTCAGTGTTTTATTGTACATGTAGTAAGCTGTTGTACATGTATTATGCTCTAAATTATTCATTATCACCATCATCATAATCATCATGATTACTATTATTAAAATTATAACCTAGTATGTAACTCAATTAAAGAAAGATTTTTCTTCTTTTTTAATTAAAAGCAGACCTTGGAACTTATTTCTTTTTTTATTTTGTATTTACATGCATGTATAATATTATTATTAATAATGATTAAGGTTCTTTTTTTCAAACTTGAAGAACCTTTTTCAAACCCCTTCCTAGAGATAACTAACGATGATGCCACTGGATAGATTTCCCCATCACTTGAGAAACATAACACACAAAAAGTAATCAAGCAATATGACAAAAACACACAAGTGCTTTACAGTCCTTGAAATTGTATACAAGAATCAATGTGAGCAAGGTCACAGGGAAATTAAAGTAGATCAGAGACAATTTCCACTCTCAAATATTAATAAGCAGTCATCAGTTATCTTCCTAAAAGTTTCCAGTCTGATAAAAACATTTTTGGCACAGCCTTGCATTCTGTGATGATTTTGTGAAAGATGCAAGCCTTGCTCAATGACCTTAAATATGCTGCAGCTATCTTACTGAAAGCAGAGACAAAAACAGTCACAAAACAACATCAACACAAAAGACCATGTTTGATAAAACTGTTGAGAGATAAGACACTCTCCTTGCCATCAGAGCTTAGTGTTGTCTTACTGAAATTAAGAGAGACATATCAAAGCATAGCCCAAGTCAAAGAATCCAACAAGGTTAATGAAGTTTTGGATTTGTGTCGCCTACGTAGCAGGCGCCTGAAAGTATTAATGGACACCAGAAAGAACAGGGGGTGCAAGAGAGACACACAAGGGCAGAGGGAGTTCCCTACCCCGTCGCGTGTCTCCATCGCGCATGTTAATATCATGCACCCTGTTCTTTCTCACATATTATTTTCAAGCGCCTTCTAAGCAGACAAGGATCCATTGTGTGAGGATAAAGTTATACTCTTGGTTCAGCCAGAGTGAAATGGATGTCACATTTTTCATGATGCAAAACTAATTCCTTGGTTTTGTGACAGATGCAAACATTGCTCAATGACCTTAAATATGCTGCAGCTCTCTCACTGAAAGGAGAGACAAAAATGGTCACAAAACAACATCAATAACACAAAAGACCATGTTTGGTTATACTGTCAAGAGATAAGACACTCTTGTGTTCGTCTTACTAAAATTAAGAGAGGCATATCTGAGCATAGCCCAAGTCAAAGAATTCAACAAGGTCAATGAAGTTTTGGATTTGTGTTGCCTGAAAGTATTAATGGGCGCCAGAAAGAACAGCGGGTTCAAGGAAGACACACAAGGGCAGAGGGAGCTCCCTCACCCCTCATGTGTCTCCATTGCCCATGTTTCCATCATGCACCCCGTTCTTTCTCACAACATATTTCCAAGAGCCTGGTAAGAAGGCAAGGATCCATGGTGTGAGGATAAAGTTATACTCTTGGTTCAGCCAGAGTGAAATGGATGCCACATTTTTCATGATGCAAAACTAATTCCTTGGCTTTGTGACAGATGCAAGCATTGATCAATGACCTTAAATATGCTGCAGCTCTCTTACTGAAAGGAGAGACAAAAATGGTCACAAAACAACATCAATAAATTGGTAAAACTGTTGAGAGATAAGACACTCTCCTTGCCATAAGAGCTTGGTGTTCACCGTACTGAAATTAAGAGAGGCATATCTGAGCATAGCCCAAGTCAAAGAATTCAACAAGGTCAATGAAGTTTTGGATTTGTGTCGCCTGCGTAGCAGGCGCCAGAAAGAACAGCGGATGCAAGGGAGACACACAAGGGCAGAGTGAGCTCCCTCCCACCTTGCAAGTCTCCATTGCGCATGTTTCCATCATGCACCCCGTTCTTTCTCACATATTATTTCCAAGTGCCTGCTAAAAAGGCAAGGATGGTGTGAGGATAAAGTTATACTCTTGGTTCAGCCAGAGTGAAATGGATGTCACATTTTTCATGGCTGCAAAAACAATTCTCTGGCTTTTGATCGTACTTGTTTTCAGGTAGATATTTGTGTTATGATGTTTGCTAAAGATCAAAAATAAGTAGGATAACTAGGAACTTTCAGTTATCAAATATTCAACTTAAGCTTTGTTTTCCTCTTGTGTATTGCAGTAGCCAATTTTTATCTAAATGGTTTATTTTAATATTTTAAGTATGAAAGTAATATTTAAGAATTATTTACATTATTGTTGGAGTAGCCGTGTCTCACACACCTCACATTTTGCTTTGTTATCACAATAGTCCATGAAGAATTTCAAGAGCCTCAAGGTAACAGTAGACAAGGAATAAAGGCCCACAAAGAAGTTCAAACATTAATTATTAAAAATATCTCCCAACATGGAGCTTTCAGGTCACTTCCAATAGCAAGTTCCTTTGTAGTTTGTTAACATATTATGTATATTACATGTATCTCTCGTATTTTGAACCACCTGCCATCATTTGTCAAGAAGGCATTGACAAATACATCTTTTTGCAGACATTCATAAAAGCTCAACTTTGTAATAACCCTCTTCAATATTTTCGTAATTAATCAACTAATTTATTAATTTTTGTGTTTTTAAGTAAACAATTTTTAATATACATAATATTATTACTTTGTTTTCTATTTTAATTAGCTTTGCATTTTTATCAACTCATTTAAATAGTTATATGTGTCATTGGTTCTGCATGACTAGTTTTTACATTTCATCCTTCTAAGTTTTTAACTGTCATCACATGCACTTTTAGAATGGGCCTTCAGCTCTGGAGATTGGGTAACCAATCAACCCTAGCTGATTGACAGAGCCCGAAGCGGGAGCCACTGATTAAACTACTACAAAACAGTTATACAGAGCAAAATATCCGGGAAGAACCATACAGGATCCACTTTATCCAACATTCCACAGAAAAAGTCACCCTTGAACATAAAGAGGCTATAGAGTTTCCAGCCGACAAGCTAATGAAGGAATCCATGCCGATAATTAAGACTGCATCACTACAATAAGGGAAGGAGGGCATGTTGGAAAAAATTCAAAATCAATAATTTTAAAACCTTGTGGAACAGAAACTACCAAAAGTGAAAAAGGGAAAACCAAAACTGGCATCAGACATTAAGCAGCCAGAGGGACACCTGCCTGCCTCTCTGTTCCCCACAGGTGTTAATGAACACACCTCACCTGGTACCAGCATCACTTTAGTGACACTCTCTACTTCAATCCAGTCATTGTTCCACCTTCCACATCATATCAGCTGCCACTCAGATGTTAAACATATGCAGACTATCAGCTTCTATTATCAACCACAACCCATCAATTTAACCATTATAGGAGCTGGTGTAACAAAGTTCTGTTCTCCTTTGACCTTTTCACAATGAACTACAACGTATAAACAATGCTGGTGTTTTCGTTGCTTTTAATTTTGGTTATTTTTTACATATTCAACCTTGATAACACTTAGTGGAACAGACGCTGAACTCTAGTTTGCAGGCTGTTGTAAAACATGCCGCTACAACTGGCAGTGGCAATCAAGATGAACTGTAAGATCGGGAAGAAGAAAATGTAGCTGTTCAAGAAGCCATTGATCTAGCTGAAGATGTGCATCAAACCAGACAAGTGTACCATAAAAATTAATAATATGTTTGTTGCAAACCCTTGAGACAAGTTAAAGCTTATAATACCAATAATTTATTATTAGTGTTCAGACATTGCTTTGGTTATCAATGATATGACAATGTTAATTTTACTGTATTACCAAAAGCCATTTTGATATTACTGACTTGACTCATGTTCATGGAACTGGAGCTGTGATTCCCTGGTTTTTGCCCCACAGTCACTGACAAGTCCAGAATTTTACAATTTGGTTTGACAAAATGTTGACCTGAATAAAAGGAGTGGGCCTGTCTATTTCATCCAAAGATAATTTCTCTTTTCTCAGTTTAAAGAACATTTAGAAAGGATCCTGAGCAGTAGAAGAGGGGATTGATAGGCCACACTCTCAGGAAACTGACTTCAAGCATCACACAAGGCTTTGACCTGGAAACCCCAGAGAAGTTGATGGAAGAGGGGGCGGCCTAAGAACAGCTGGAGGCTGGACAATACACAAGTCTATTAAAAGGCGCGGAAACCGGTTGGAATGAGGCAGTAAGAACAGCCCAGAGTGGTAGAGCCAAATTCAATGCAGCAGCATCATCAAAGGACTATGCTGCAAAAGGCACCAAGGACCTAAGTAAGTATGTAAGTTTGAATCAGGCCATTTTTTTTGTTTTTTTTCCCTCTACCTTAGCATTTATTGTAGAAGAAAAAAATGTTTGCTTCAAGCTTCAGAACAGTTTTGTTTTCAAAAAAAAGCATTCATGTAAGACTCTTACCAACATTTTCTCTCTGTTTATATTGAATAATTCAATATAATGGTAATGAAAAACAACTGCATATCCCGTTAAATAATTTTCTCAAATAAAAATTTTGATGATTGCATATTTTCTTTAGTTGATGCTTTTATCTGCCATTTTCCTCTTTTAAGTATAAATCTTATTTAAGGAGCTTGAATTCCAACTTTTCCATTGGGCAAGCAGCTATGGTGTTTTGCTTGCCTAAGGCTACTTGGAGGATGATTTCCCCGGACCATTGTAAGCTTATACTTGACCCAGACTACTGAATGGAACTTTTTAAAGGCATAGTAATATTAAACTGAAGCACTCCACTGACGCAGTAACAAATCGAAGCCAACTGGAGATATTCCAATAAAGCCCTTCCTGCCAGCTGCAAGAGCATACTCCCAGCCTTCTGCAGTTACCAAGTTGCAACTTCCAGTTACAAGACTAAAATGATTATTATTGAACAAAATAATGTGACAACGTTTGTTGTTTGAAAAGTTTTTCTTGCCATTCATTCCCAGCTGGTTCAATTTCTACAAACAGAAACAAAAAAAGATGGTCTTAGTCATACCCTTCAGTTTAACTAATTGTGGGTAAATTCACCCACACAATAATAAAAGATACTCACATTCCAGGCTGGCTTTGTTGGCTTCAAGTCCAAGGTTCCACAGTCTTCAGATGTTTCAGATTTATGCAGCCTCATGAAGTCAATATGGATTCATGTTGTCAATAAGTTTCCAAACGGTCAAAAAAAGGAAGAAAAACACACTCTATTGTTCAGAGAACATCAGTCTCTGCGCAACATTTTCCTTGACATAAGATTTTTTAACCTCCTGTATAAAGGAAAAGTTCCACTGAAATAAAGAAAGTATTAATGATATTTCTGATTTAAAGTCGTTGCTTAACCCAGACATTCTGTGACAGCTGTTTGAATTTTGCACCAATAGCTGTTTGTGCAATTCCAATAATCAGATTAATTTAATTAGTGCATGTCTGCACCTTGAAAACTATGTAGCTCCTGTTACATAAGGTTTGTTTCTGCTCTTGTTGCTGCTCTGGACATTATAATGTACTTAACAACTACTTAGAACTGTAAGGTCACCTTGGCTGGATTTCCAAAGATTTCATCCTCCATCTCATCGTTTTCATCATCATCTTCTAGAATGGAACCATTTCTGTAAAAATCAAGATATTAATAATTCAAAATTTACAACAATATTGTTGACAATTAATAAATTGTTCAGTACACCATTCTCTGTTGAAGTCCTGCACACAGCTGGAGCCCGTGAAAATACATGTAAGCCAGCAGGGGTGGGGGAGAAAAAAGTAGGGGTAGGGGGTAGAGTTACCTATGTACCATTCATTGGCCTTCATCACAATTGATGGTTATTGCAAATAAAAGAAAGAAGAGTTTAAAAAAGCACGCTATTTTAACGGAATTTACAGATTGTTTTTAACCGCAAAAATATTTCAAGATCCAAGGAATGTTTTTGGTAAGATTTCCGTACGTTCCGCTCCATATATCATGATGCATACATGTTTCGACTCTATTTCGCGTAAAGTTGCTGCATGCATAATAAATGTCGAGGCTAGTAAGACATCAATTTTTTTAAAAAATAAAGGTTGAAGCTAGGATTAAAGGGCTGACAAACTCAAGACTCCACAAAGAAAATGCCCACCTTCTATCTTCATTTCGCGTTCTCTTCGCTCCAATTGAAGAAGCTTCAGGAGTGAACGGGTTTACGTTTGCGGTGACTTGTCGAGATCGTGGCCCTGTGCGGGGCTCGCTTTCAAATCCACGGCCTTTAAGTAATCCTCGGCGTAATCTTGACACAGGTCTCTTAAAATCTATCGTGCGGTTCACAGCAGAAGAGCGCTCGAGGAGACTCTTCGGCGTTTGTGGAGAATCGAACAGACGAAGCGCTCCGAGCGAAGGTGGCGATAGAGGCGGAGTGGTAGGAATGTCACTTTTAACTGGTGATTCATCCGATATTAAATCTCTAAAAGGACTCGAAAAGCCAAGGTCCCAGCCTTCATCTGCGAATTCAGGCGACATTGGTTCCACAAGGCTATCATTCTCTTTGCTGTTAAACGTTGAAGACGTGTCCATGCCAAGGTCGGTTTCTTCTTCTAAAACGAATGGAAGCTTTCCTAATCGCGATTTTATGAACTCCATCGAGCAAAGCTCTTGTAGAAAGGTCTAAGTACGTTATAAGAACTATTTCGGTCTACAATTCGTAAAAACTAAGCAAAAATACCACTAAATCTAAGCCGCAGCTAGATGGACGAACGAACAGGAGTTGTAAAATTTACAACGGTATGAAACGTTTGAGCCAACCAATTAGAAGCTTTCGATGCACGTGACTTATTGAATATTGGCGGGAAACTGTCGTCACTTGTCAACCCTAGTAAGTTCTTTCACCTGGGAGCGAACCACGAGTATCAAATTTTTTTTTTTCCTTTTTCTTTTTCCCGTTTCATAATATCGCCAACTTTTCTGTCTTAAGATATTTACAGAATATTCTTTTTAGAAAGGAAAGCAGTATATTAAATTATTCACCCGTCGGTCACACTCACGCTAGAATCATACTTACTTGGTCAATTTTTGATTGAATCTAGCATAGATCGCATATTCCTAACTCGTTTCAGATGTGACCGACCAAACTTGGCATTGCGCGTAAAGTGCGAAAAAAAGTAAAGAAAAACAGGGGCATTGAAAATTTGTCCATATCCAAACGGGGGTTACGTAAATAAGGAAGCTGTTGTTCTTTCAATGTGACCAGATCCCGCTCAGCTCGAATCTCTAGCACGTGCTTAGGTTTGCTTGTCTGACGTCACAAGCAAGCATGCTTCAAAGTTATTTAGTGTGACCAAGGGGTTAGTTGTTTTCACGGTTATGTTTAAAAATGTTAGTTATTTCTAACTGATAAATTATTAATCAACGTCACTCTGAAGATAAATGACATAAATATTTTAATTTTCTTCTTTTTGTCCATTAGAAAACAAAATAAATTTTCCGGTAGTTTATGACAGTTAGCATCTTAATTTCAGAAATGCCTCTTTTTAGAGCACACGTAATTGGAAGTGATTTGATAGAAAGCAAACGCTGTTTTATGTGTATGAAAGGACAAAAATACCAAAAGTATTTAAAAATAGCAACACATTCATTCAGGAGCCGATTGCAAAAAAAATAAATTAATTAGTCGGTACAAGAATCCTGCGTCATAGAGACCGCTTTCTTTTGGGCAACCATATTTTAATTTCAATATTTAAAAAATGTAAAGAAAAGTGAAATTTTATAATCTCGAAAAAAATAACTTACTTTTCTTTTCGCTGTCGCTGAAAATTTTACATTTCGCGATCGGATTTCGTCGAAAAAACGCCCCAAGCTTCCGTCCCGGCCGGAGGAACTGGGACCCACTGGCATGAAAAGGAATTACATACACTCCGCCCAGTTTACTGCACCGACGATCGAAGATTCGCCTCGAAACAGGGTTGCTTTCTGTTATTACTGTTGTTATCCACATTGCTTTCGTTGACCGATAGGTATGGCTAAAGGTGGGGACGCCGACAAGCAGTACAAGTTAGTTGTTGTCGGCGGTGGTGGTGTTGGAAAATCTGCTTTGACGATCCAGTTTATTCAGTCGCATTTTGTCAGTGACTATGACCCTACCATCGAAGACAGCTACCGTAAACAGTGTGTGATCGACGAGAAAGTCGCCCACTTAGACAGTAAGTGACTTGGTGATGTTGTTGTTGATGCCTGGCCCGTAGCTTAAAGTGTAAAAATACAAGAACAAAACTTAGGGGCAGGTCGGGGAGTGCCGCATAGGACTTCTTGTGTTTTGCCCAAGTGATCTATTTATAAAAGCTCCCTGATGATCATAGATTTCAAAGTCGAATATCTCAGATATTCATTTTCCACATTTTTTAGGACAAGGTCGAGCACCAAAATTTAGTAGCTTATATTAGATTTATTTTCGGCTGGGCACGCTGATACATAAGTATTTACACGATGTTTTTAGCCGGTGAATGAATTCGCCTTGGATATATATCTGCTCAAGACAAAAGCCATGTCTTGACACATTCTTTATTTGGAAGTAACAGCAAATATTTCTGCTGTGAAGTGATGTACTCAGACCACAACAATATCTTTTTAATGAGAAATTAAAACTTTATTGTATACTTTGTGAAAACTTGCATAAACCGCAAATCATGACCGTCGACTTGTCGAAGAAACGTAACTAGTTAAAATCGATGCTGTTGAAAATTTTCAATCTGCATGATCAGGTTGGGATGTCACGGCGTTTCTCGACTCTTTCATTTATGAAACTACGATCGTATTTGTTTTAAGTGCATCATTTTCTCTGCATGTCGTTCATACTTGTTTTCCATAATAGCCAGGATTAAAAATGGCAACTGATTTGTATAACTGTTGGTCGTCCGTTTTAGGGGGTTCCGTCACTTTACGTAAATCGTTTTCTTTGGCACAAAAGAATATTAATTATTGTAAACCCTGAAAGCACAATAAATTTGATGTTCTAATTATTATATTGTTGTAAAACAAACTTTCACTTGTGCCCATAGGCAGAAAGACATCAAGATAATAAGCCTTACGTACGTTTCAGAATTTAGCTGAAATGGGGAGTGCACGTTTCTTTGACTAAATTTCTAAATTTCTCGTTTTACCTAATGTGCATGAAGAAATGATGAAAAAATGCTTTATTCCAAGTTGTCCTTTTTCAATTGATACCTGTTTCTAGCGCCCTTCTGCCTTTAGCCATGAGGACTGGGCATGATTCATCCTTTATATTTAGAGTACAGAAAGTATTTTTTCATGAAAAGGGTAAAAACATTTTATGATTCAAGACTGTCCAAGGCAATTATACAGTAGGATAATTACTTTAGATATTGATCTTGTGAAAATTTCCTGCCCATAACTATTTTCAACTGATCGTGAGTGACATTATTCTAAGCAAGGTAATGCACTTTAATTTCTAGCTCTCACTTTCATCTGTAGGTCCTGTTTCATATATATTTTTTGTTTTGTTTAATGCTTTTAGTATTTTTACTTTCAGTAAAATTTACATTCTTTTTAAAGCTTAGTGAACAGTTAAAATTAAAGCCAGAACTTACATTAGAGGCTCTTAGTATCTTGTTTGGCAATCTCGAACATAGCTAAGCTTAGACTAATTAGCATCATGTAAGAAACTCAGGTGACAGCATGGCATGTGTCAAATTAAGTGGATAGATCAATCATTGCAACTGATATGAGAAAATATGAACCATCTAAGCATGCATCTATGATCAGTGTAGTAAAATTCACCACCTTTTGGAAAAACTTGGTGGTATATTATATATTATATATGCAGAGATGAAAACAAATGTGGAGATTTAAAATCTGGAGACTGGATATATAGCAATCTCTTCTCTTTCGCATTTTGCCCCCCTCCCCCTCCCCAAAAAAAAAACATCAATATTACCCGGCCACCCACCTCCACCCCCCTCAATAAATATATAGCCCACATTCAATATGTTATAGTAAATTCTTACATCGCGCCGAGGCGTCAGAGACAAAATTACAAATTTTACATGACTCCATTTTCTCACAACTCCATTCAATATGGAAAAATAACCATAAAGCCTCAGAGACATGTTAGAATTTTACCCAGGTAGGGTACTCCGGCTTTCATGTGACAGAGATGATCGAATGGGGGCAAAAATCAAAACCGAAAATAATCCCCAGGGCTTCCATCAAAACCCAAAAAAATCCCTGGACCAAAAATCAACCCCCAAAAAATCCCATGCCAAATTTCCGAGCCTTAAAATTTCCCAGAAAGCATTAAAGGGCATGACACATAAAATAAACTGGAAACTGAATGTTTGTATTTGCGGCTGGGATTCACGGGCACAACCACGAATCTTCATATTGTTTTGAATACCCCAAAAAGTTCCTTCTTACACTCCTGTAAATCAAGTCACCCAAAAAAATACTTGTCAAATTTTCCCACCCAAAAGAATCCCGGAAACGAAAATTTCAAGCCCCCAAAAATCCTTTTTTTCATCCAAAGTACCCCATGGGGAATTATAATATATCAAACGTGGGCTGTTAGGTACCATTTAAGCATGGGTGTAGCTCAGGACATTCTTTGTAGTCTTACATGAAGTACAGACTGTCAACATTTGTCTTTATGATTCTGATGCTGAAGGAAAATTTGTATGTGGATATTGGTGCCGCTTAAAGGGTTAACTATCTTTGACAACAAGTAATTCTAACTATTCTCAATAATTAAAATTTTCGAACACCCATTTTATTGGAAAAATTTTTACACTGGTTAAATTTGCAATTTAATATTTGTTTTTCTTTTATTTACAGTTCTTGATACAGCTGGCCAAGAGGTAAGCTTAAATAGAAGTGTAAAATGGCTTGAATGCTCATGCATTCTCTACGTGTGTCCTTCTGCAGTGCTTGACACTTCATTTGTGACAGCTCCTGGGCTTCATTTAACCTGAAATCATGTTTTTACCTTTATTTTTCTTCCCTTATTTATTTTTCCGCTGGTGGTGGCAGTCATGACTGGGGGGCATGGATTTATCAGCTATGAGGGTATAACTCTATAAGGGGGCTGGCTGTGCCAGAGTGCAAGCCTCCCGGATATACCAAGCACCCAACCTAGTATGGGGCAGCTGTGTTCTAGGAGAACCTGGGGGCACCTGACCCCTTGCTTTTGCTCATGGGCGACTATGAAATCTCAGTTTTTGTGGAGAAATCAAAAGTTGGGCACCCTGGTTTTCCCAAGCTAAGTTCAGAGCGCTGGTAATTTTTCTTATATCACAGCCTTGCAACCTCCACTAAGCAGAGCAGTGTTGTCAACTTTTTTTTTTACTTTGCTACTTAACAAAATAGAATAATATTATTATATTTGAAAGGTCATCAGTCTATACTTAGATACTATTTTATTCTGTTGGTAGATTAATCCTGCTACTCAACTGGGTAGATCGACAGTTTCATTAACATCGGCTTCTTTATTTCATTTTCAGGAATTCAGTGCAATGAGAGAACAATACATGAGAAATGGCGAGGGATTTTTATTAGTTTTCTCTCTCTTAGATCGTTCCAGGTTTGTACTGTTGTACCTTGAACTGCATCATGTGCACATGATTGGAAAATAGCTTTGTCCATGCACATCCCTGGCAAACAGTTTGTTGAAAATAATGCTAATTACCGGTATAGTTGATAACACTCAAATTTCTTCTATTTCTTCTCTTATTCACAGCTTCGAAGAAATCAAGCGCACATTTCATCCCCAAATATTACGAGTAAAAGATAGGTGTGTAAAAAAATATCCTTCATACACTTTTAGCATAACATAAATTGTGATGTTTCTTTAGAAGGCTAGAGCAGGTAATTTTAAGCTAGCTGTCGCTGAGTTGTGTCATAATTATGGTTGTGCACTCTTCAACTGATTTTCCAATCCAACAGTATCATAATAATCTTACTGGAAATGAAAATTTGCCATGAAATTGCAAAAACTGGTACTGTAGTGGCTGCACCCAGTTAATACGAACACCACGGGACGTGTTATAGTGTCCGTATTATTTGGCTGACCTGGTCCCCACAAAAAACATCTTGGATGCATGTTTTGTTAAAAGAAGGACTAAAGCAGACATTTTTAGAACAAAGCTTTGTTTAATTTCTTATCTGTGCCTGTGAGAAGTTCCTCCTAACGAAACCTCACTATCATTTATAATAATCTTGGTCTAAAATTACCTCTAGTTTTAAGTGTTCTTGAAACATGACAATGGAATTTTTTTTTTATACTAATGCTGCTAGTTCAGTTTGCAACTCAGACAGGTGGACTGGATATTAGACAGACCCTTTGAAAGGTCGTTCCCTGTTTCTATTAGGTTTTTCATTGATAGGATATTTAAATGACATATGAAAGTTTGTGACTCAGGACGCAGGAAATTAAATGTCCATTGTCCATATTTATTAGTGGTTACTTTGAGAAAAAAATATATGAGTTTTTTGTTGGGACAAAACTGTTTGCTGAATGCGGGTGTCTGTAGACCTGGGTTCCACTGTAATCTTCTTCATAGTACTATATGTTACTGTATGGCTAGGGTTAACATAATAATTATGTTAACCTAACTGACATTAGACAAAGCCGGGAGTGAGTTAATGAGGCTCATCCTTGTTTTGTCATCCTTATTAAAAAAAACTCTCATGCCTGGTGATTATTTTTCTGAGATAGTACACTTAACTGTGAAGTAGAGAAATAGAGTGCAAAGCAAGTGGCTACATGTCCTGTCAGTCAAGCTAAATTTGTGTGTAACAGTCAATATGAGATCTGTCCCTTGCAATGAGTTGGTTTTTGATCAAAATGTTATCTTATTATGATTACAGGTCAGAGTTCCCCATGATATTGGTTGGAAACAAATCTGATTTAGAACCAGAGAGAACAGTAAGTTGATTCAGGAAATCTGGATAAGCTAATGATAGTCAAACCTATTTCCATTGATATTGGTTGTAAACAAATCTGATCTAGAACCAGGGAGAACAATAAGTTGATTTGGGGAATCTGGTGGAAAAGCTTCTTTGTCAAACCTTAGATTATAATGAAAATTGCATTTAACACCATTTTTCTTTCTGCCTTGATATGGTTAGAAAATTGTACAGGAATTGCCCCAAACGGCTGGAGCTTATCCCAGTTTCCTTAGCATGAAGCATGCTGAGGAGTATTGCAACTCCCCCCCCTGGATGGGATGCTAGTCCATCACAGGGTTAGCCCCCGGCAGTAAGTAACTGGTACCCATTATACACCTTGGTGAAGAGACAAAGTGGAGTAAAGTTCCTTGTCTAAGGAAACAATGTGAGAGGCGAGGCTTGAACCGCTGGCCGTCAGATCCAGAGTTCAATTTGTTAACCGTTTGGCCACATCTGCCGCCTCTTGAAGGATATGATCTCTTTTAGTTAACGTTTTTGTGTTTACTTTGTTAAGGTTTCAACATCAGAGGGACAAGAACTGGCAGCAGAACTCAAGGCAAGTAATTAAACGACACCTCATGGAAGAAAAATTGCATCAGTTATGGGTCTTAAAATAAATATTTTTAGTATTTTACAGACAGAAGAGTCATTCAGTATACTATAGCCATGCACGTGGGTAAAAAAAAATAGAAAATTGCTTTATTATGCCAACTCTTTCGAATTAGGTGACCTCTCTAATGGTTCACCAAATCTACTCCAAACTGAATTTTGAGCTTTTCTGTGCTTTTGTCTAAAATTTAGCCCATTCTCCCCCTAAAAATCATAGTATGGTTTCAGTTGCATTCTTGCTAGTTTTTCATCACTGACAAGACTATTTCTTTAAAATGCACCAAATTTGCACTTTCTGTACTTTGTGTAAGACTTTGTATAATTTTATTTCTTAGCCACACCCATGTTATAACAATTTTTGTGTAGGCAGGTCATGAGAAATGGGGCGGGGTCCATGTTGGGGGGTACTGCCAAAGAGACAGTCTCCAGAGTTAAGACTTTCAGAGTTCGGCATCTCTGAAATTGTATTAATGCACACCCAAGGAGCTAAAGTACCAAAAGGACAACATTTTAATGGCCTGATGTGTTGGCTGTGATTTTGTTTCCCCCTGCATCCTCTCCTGTGTTGCTGTTGTATAAACATCCTCAAAGGTACCATTAAATAAACCAGAACATGCCTCCTGCAGGAGGCAAAAATTTAATTCATCAATCTCTTATGTTTTCAAAATATTACGTCAAGTCAAAATAGCGATATCAAGACCTGCCTCAAATGCTGCAACCATACACTGATAAATTGGTAAACTGGAATATTTCTTCCCGTGATATGAATATTGATACTGAAATCAAATATTTCAATTTTACAGTGTAACGAAATAGGCTGCATAAACAAATTTGTAAAATCAAAGTGTAGTAATATTAATATACATAATTTCTCACCCAAGCTCTACATTTTAGCCTTGTAAAGCAATATTGAAGCAAACCATCCCTACTTCTTCAGCTTCTTAATTTGTGTATTGTCAGCTGTACCAGCCCCACCCACTCTCAACCCCTCTGGCTTTGCCATTCCTGATCACTCCTTTAAATCATCCCACATCCTTATGTGCATTTGCTGTCTGCAAAACTGCCAATCAAGGAGACAGTGTGGCCAAGTAGTCAGCGCGTCAGGTCACAATCTGGCTGTCCCAGGTTCGAGTCCCGCTCTGGCAAATTGCTGGATTTGTTCCTGGTCGTCCCGGGCGCAAATCCTCTCCCTCACTTGTAAATAGCCAACTGGTTGCCTCCTGTCAGTTTGGGTTTTTATTCCTGTTTTGTTGTATTTTGCGTGGAGTGCCTGTAAACTAACTAGATAAGCTAAGTTCTAGATAGCAGCAACAATATAGATAGTCGTATAAACATAACAACTTTCTTTAATTTTCCAGACATGTTTCGACGGTACATCCGTCATGTTCAGTGTTACATATTTTGAAATCGCCGTTGAATTTAAAGCGCGCGCGATCTTACAAAGTTCGTTACATTGCGTTGTCAATATTGGCATGATTTTGTTTCAATTTACTCACTGCGAATCAAGAAATGTCCGAGAGAGTCAGGTTAATGTGTTTCACCTGCTGGTTGAGATCGGGCTTCTCCCATTTTATGAACATGGATTCCTTAAGCTTCACTTAGTACTTAGCTAAGTTCACTTTCCACTATGAACAAGCCTTTAAACATTATTCCTAATTGTATTCCTTTATTCCCCACTTAGTACCCTGCCTGCAGTTCCTTGACATGACGTGCAAGCAGTAACGTGATCAAATTCTTTTTGTTTTCAACAGATTCAGTACATTGAGACTAGTGCAAAACAGAAAACCAATGTTGATCAGGCATTCCACGACCTCGTAAGAGCTATCAGGTAATGCCGTTCTTTTAGTGCAAAGGGATGTCAAAACTGTAATGTTGCTGTGATAGTTTCATGGGAAAACCACAATTTCTAGTTGGAAGATCAAATGGTGTCGTACGTCACTCCATTTGGGAATCTTCAGGAAATATGGGCTGTGATTTGAGGCAATGTAATTTTTCCACTCTTTTTAGCCTTTTGAGCTGATTTGGATATACTTTGTAGCTGGTCCTTCTCCCACCACGTCAAATTTTATAGTTCTATGTTTGTGCACAAGATTCCACCCAGGTGGTTTGTGTAAATGGGAAGCACCCCTTACCTGCCCCGCCATGATGAGTTGTTATTCATGTGTGTCCATGGTAAAATTACACTCAGCATGGATGAACTTGGACTAAGCTGTTAACAAGGTGGCAGCGGGGTTTTCAGTGACGCATGGTGGGTCCCAAATTATCAGCATGATACATGATGGGGGCCCAAATTAGCCCTGTGAGTAGTGATTGGGCATAGCAGCATAGTGCATGATTTACCATTTTCACAACACACGACACATGACTTGCCTTTCAGATTTCCAGGATTGGTGTATATTATTTGAAACTAGAAGTACAGATGTTAAAACAAGATGGTCGGGACATAATGCTCTGATCCTTTTTCTTTTTCGTTTTCTCTTTCTTTGTCCTCTAATTTCTTGTCAAAATCTTATTATGACCTTCAATGTTTCAACAACACTGCAGGGGCAAAGCTACCTCTACACACAGTACACAAGTGCATAGGGATGGGGTAGCAGGAAGGATTTGGAAAATTGTGTATACCTGTCCTCTGTAAACATCCTGCCATGTTAACTGACTGCAATTGCACCTAATGTTCATGATGCATGATGGCTAACTTTTTATTCCCGTGATGCGTATTGGCCCTCAGTAAAATAAGTCAGCATGATGCATGTTAAGCACCCCCGCCTCCTTTGCTACCCTGTGATAAGTATAAGATAATGTTTTGAAAGAATGCTAACTGCAAATAACTCAAGGTTTTCCCATGCTGGTTACGCTGTTATGAAGTCAAGCAAAGAGGTGATCATTGAGTGTTTTAAATCTTTTTCAGAAAATTTTACGTGCAGCTGGAAGAACAGCAAAGAAGAAACAGTAAACCGGCCAAGAAATCCTGCTGCTCAATTTTGTGACATAGTTATTTGAACTAGGATGACTATATTGTGGAAATCTTTATTTTAGAGTGTGAAATGATTCGGTAGCCATCAATTTTCAAACCGTAATATTGCTAGTATGCTCGCAAATAAGCACTTGGCAAAAACTATCTTAAATTGAATTATTTTTGTACAAAATCTGCAAGTTGTTCGGCCTCCTGTGTCATGGGTCTTCGGGCTTGTCACACAATTTTTGTAAGGAAGGAGAGATTGCGTGAGAGACAAGGAACTTGGCACTGGGCCCTTTGCAGCTGGTCAGTCAGGTTTATGGTCAAGTCTTCTGAAAGCCATCTCGGCCGAAGTTATGCCGCCCAAAATTTACAGTTAAGTCAAACTGAACCTGATTGCACATTTATCACGCTTGTTTCGTCTTATCATAACTTAAAGAACGAGAAATATAGCACGCACAGCTTTATTCCACTCTGTTTATCTGTGTATTACTTCAGATAAATTTCGTGAGAAATAGCTTTGAATTTTCGGCGACATTACCCTATTTCGGGCACATAACTTAAAGGGAGATGGCTTTTGGTTGGCTTGACTAGTTACCGTCAGTCACTTGGAACGAAAACGCCACGATGGAGAGCAAGAAGCACACTTGGACACTCAAACAAAGAGCTCACATCATTTAATTTGATAGCTTCCTTTGTTTGTCTAGCGTAAGAAAACAGCCAACATTTTGCGACGCCAACGTGTGGTTTCCCGCGAAATGACGTGTGAGAAACGAGCACAGAAATTCCGTACTGATGACGCGTCACTGCCCAGATCTGGGTAGTGCCTCTGATTGGTTGAGGCAAATTTCCCACGCGACGCGACCAATCAAAAGCACTACCCAGAGCTGGCCGGGTGCGCTCGTTTCTCAGACGTCATTTCGTCGGGAAACCAGTGGTGCCGGTGGCGTCGCTAAATGTCCACCGTTTTCTCAGGCTGTTGTTTGTCTTGTCCAGGTGCATTTCTTGATCTTCAGCATGGCATTCTTTTTTTACCACATGACTGACCAGTTCCAATGAAACCGTTGAATTGTTGCATTTGTACTGAAAAAAGGGTAAACTTAAATAACCTCGAGAACTGGAGTAGTGTTATTGGTAAATTCAGTATTGCATATCAGTAATCATTATATAAAAAGGCGTTTTTAGTTACTACTTAAAAAGTATTTATCACAGGATAAGAAAACTTTTTTTCCCTATTCAGTATTATTTTAAGTGTAATTTAGTATCCTTAACTCAAAGATCTACATGTTGAATTAGGCGAAGTTATTAGCCCTATCGTCTGGGTGATTCCCTTTAAAAGTTATTTTCGAACTAATCATAACAATAAATAAATCTTTGGAACAAAACCTCTTTTAAGGTGTTTTTTTTGTGGTATGCGTGTAAGGTTTATCTTACTTTAATCTTACAAAAACTTTTTGAAAGGCATGGAATAGTGTTTTTTATTAAGTTTATATAAATTTAAGTCAGTTAACCAATTGTTGATGAAGTATCGTGGTTGGTTCAGCTATCAATATTGTCATAGCTGAGATGTTTTGAACCATTTTGTTTCCTTGTTGTTTTTGTTTGTTTGGTTGTTAACTTGATTCGCGCTGATTCGATAGGAGGATCTACGCGGATATCATTGTTTACATTTTGCTTCATTACCATCAAGATAAATTAAAACAACGATAATAATTGAAAGCTTTGCAGCATGCGTAATATTTAGCTCTTTCCTTGAATAAGTTGAGGAAATATGAGCCATAAAAAAATTTCTGGGTGGCAAAACTGTCAATGGATTCGTAGATGTGTTAGCTAACATTTTCAAGTTTCTAACATCATACATTTGAAAGAATATTTGGGAGTTTGGACTTAAATTTTCGGAAAGGCTTATTGTTGTAACTAGATTAGAAAATGGGAAGCATGGTAATGACAGTTATGAGTAATAACCAGCATAGTTAATTAAAGTTGAATGGTTGGGAAACCCTTTGTTATATGTTTTTGTGAGAATTTTTTGGACCTAAGGGACTGGTCAAAAAGTATAGGTGGGGCTGGGCCGGAGCAGAGAGGGGGTGGGTCATGAGGTTTTGAGCCTTGTGCAAGGGGTGGGTCGTGCAATTTTCAGCTACCCTTAGGCGGTGGGTCACCCTATTTTTAGCTAACTACTAACAAATGAAATTTCTGGTGATTGAGTCGCTACGAATTAGCCTGAAATTAAATATTTCTGCGGCACGGGAGCAGCAGGCCGTGGGCCTGGGTCTTTTTAATGTAGTTGCATCATGGGTAATGGCGTGTGAGTATTTAAGCTTGGGATTGCACGTGGGCAATCATTCTAGGCCGACACCACTCACTATAATTTTTTATTTT